TGTGTGTGTGTGTGTGTGTGTGTGTGTGTGTGTGTGTGTGTGTGTGTGTGTGTGTGTGTGTGTGTGTGTGTGTGTGAACCTGACAGATTACACCTTCCCGCTGTTTGCACCTGCTCTCTGCCTCGCATTTTATCTCTTGTACTTTCCCCCAGTTCACACCCTACACAGACACACTTTATTTATTTGTACCCAAAAGTCTATCAGAGTGCTGCATGGCTCTGGTAGATGATTTCATATGCATTCAATGGAGCAGGGATCTGTCCTATGAAGCTAGTTCAACATGGCCATTATCTGGCTTCACTCATCCTAAGAAAAACTATCATCTGAAAAAGCTAAGCACATGATACAGACTGAACATGTGCGCGGTGTGAGTGTGTGTGTGTTGGTAAAAGCACACTATAGAGTGTAAAAACTGCTGTATGATTGTTTGAAAAAGCACTGTATAGCTTGAAGAATTGTATTTATTTAAAATTCGCTTTTTAAAGTCTATTTAAAGGGAGAAAAGCATGCCGTGTATGGTTGCAGAATTCTCCTCGCTCTTATTTGTCAGTAATTACAATGAAATTTGAAAGGACTCCTCCTTTTAGCGTGTAGTTGTATTCTTTCAGCTGAAGTCTCATTGGTGTGAAGTGGTGTTGAGACAGTCTCTTTTTACTTACTGAGCTCCACAGGCTTTTCCTGGAGTGGACATTATGTTTCAGAGAAGTGCGCTGGGGGGTGGGGCTGTGTGTTGATCTCTTATCTTGAGCATAACCTGCTCTAGAGAAGAGCAAGTCTTCAAATACGCAATCCATATGGCTTAATGGTGACCGCGAGGCAGTCCACTAACACCTTGTAGTATCGGCCCAAAAAGGGAATTATAAATAAAAAAATGTAGCACCACAGAGCGCTGAGAGGCAGACCATTTTTGTAGACCAAACTGGTCTACAAATATGGGCTTTTTCCATAGGGTTCTGGATACTGGAGGCCATAAGCTCCCTCCATTTAACAGTTTGGTGTTCGTCTTTTCGTTTACACTTTTCTAACCTGTAACTATTGTGCTTTTTAAAACCTTTTAATGCAATATCAGCTTACACCCCCAGTAAGCTCTGCTGCACAGCATACTGAGTCTGTGCTTACATCCTCATGGAGTCATTGCTACAATCTGCATAGTAGCCCAGTGCACAAAGTAGAAAATCTGATGGTTGAAATCAGAGAAAAGGTCTCAAAATGTCTTCTTTTTCTTATCAGTTCACTGTGTTTTTGTTTTTTTGTTTAATTATAGTGCACCATTTAAATATTGTTTGGTCTTACCTTCTAGTTAAGGTTCTAAAAAGGTGTTAAAGTATTAGTTTTTATTTTTCAAACATGATAGTTTTTCCCTATTGTGTTCTTTTTTTATATTCTTGTAAACTGAATGGTTTACCTGCAGCGATCTTTGCGCAGAATCTCAGCTATAGCAAATTAAAAATGGCCTCCTTAAGTTGCACTTGATTTCATTTCCACATGCAGGCACACAGAAGTGCTCACACTGGCTCACATGGCTTAAATCAGGGGTGCCCAATCCCGGTCCTCGAGAGCTACTATCCTGCAGCTTTTAGATGCATCCCTACTCCAACACAGCTGAATCAAATGGTTTGATCTCTTCAGCATGCCATCATGTTTGGCAAAGGCCTGATAACAAGCCATTCATTTGATTCAGGTGTGTGGGAACAAGGATGCATCTAAAAGCTGCAGGACGGTAGCTCTCGAGGACCGGGATTGGGCACCCCTGGCTTAAATGGTTCATTTCTTGTTTCCCTGTTCTTCTGCTGCTGCCTTCTGCTGACACCTAGTGGCTAAACATGAGTCTGCAACCACTGTCTGTGCTGAACACAGTATTAAGGTCACATTTTAAGATTTTAGGTGAGGGGAAAAAGCCACAGTGAGAGTTTTGATATTTCTGTGTCTCTGACAGGCACACCTGGCTCTGTGCAGCAGGCTTTCACATCAGGCTGTGTGTGTGTGTGTGTGTGTGTGTGTGTGTGTGTGTGTGTGTGTGTGTGTGTGTGTGTGTGTGTGTGTGTGTGTGTTTTTAATGCGCACAGATTTTAACGAAGTTGGGTGAAGTTGCGAAGTTGGCTGAACAGCATGGTTATTGCACCGAGGAAAATTTGTTATCATATGACATGACCCATTTCTGTAATATACTTGCATATCTATATTATTGCTAATATATATTGTAATATATCTATATCATGGCTAAAGCACTTCTGGATGGATGCAAACTGCATTTCGTTGCCCTGTACCTGTGCATGTGCAATGACAATAAAGTTGAATTCTATTCTATTCTATACGTGTTATGTAATGATGGTGAATATGTGCATCAAACTCATTCATAGCATTTTATCCTGTTTTGTTTGTTTGTTTGTTTTTTAACCCATCTCCACAGCTAACTGTTCATTGTAAAAAAAATAAATACCAGCACACATTATTTGATTGTAGACTCAGAGGCTCAAATAAAAAAATTTTTTTTTATTTTTTTATTTGGAGAAATTTGACCAAGACAACAGAAGCGATTGAAAGATGATTTTCTTTTTTTTTCTTTTTTTTTTTCTTTTTTAAATTGCATCATTTTCCTGCATCTCTTTTGCTCCTCCAGGCAGCTTCAGGAGGCACAGAAACAGAAGGAGATGGAGAGGGAGCGCCAGGAGCGAGAACGTCAGGAGAGAGAGCGTCAGGAGCTGGAGCGCCAAGAGAGGGAGCGCCTGGAGCGAGAGATGCTGGAGCGTCAGGAGCGCGAACGTCAGGAACGGGAGCATCAGGAGAGGGAGGCGCAGGCAGAGAAAGAGCGACTTGAGCGGGAGCGCCAGGAGCAGCAGGAGCGTGCCGAGCGTGAACTGATGGAGAGGGAGAAGGTGGAGAGAGAGCGGCTGGAGAAGGAGCAGCAGGAGCAGTTGGATAGAGAGCAGCAGGACTGGGAGAGAGGGAGACGCATCTCCAACGCTGGTGAGTAATCCACTTTGTGTTTCCGCTGCTGCGCACACTTGTTTCATTTTACTAATTTTACTACTACAATATTACTAATGTGACTGTTTTCTGTCCAAGGAGCAGTTTGTCTCAGGCTCACAGTAAATATAGACTAGTCAATGACAAGCGTTATCTTTCAGTTATCTCTCCAAAGTACATTTTAAAATGGTCATTTTTGTTATTTGAACATTTAGTGAAGTTTTTGTGTCAGTTTCATACAGTGTCATTATTGTGTTAATATTTAACAGTTTATTTATACGCGTGGTGGTTTTCAGTTGGTATAAAACAAAATTCCCTAAAAGTGGTACATGATCTGAGTGATGATGTGATATTTAGACTTGTTATGCTTTAACCACAATGCATATTTTTGTTTTGTTTGGTTGGGGGGGGGGGGTGTTGTTTTTTGTCGTCTTATCCATCCATCCCAATTAAAAAAAACAACTCAGTTTTCCAGCAGCAAGCAGTGCCTGCTTTTGCATTGCACTGTGGGTGAATCAAGTCCATTAGCAGTGCACTCAAATATCCAAGTCTTCTTTGTATTCATGGTGACTTTTTGAATGAGGCTTCATTAATGAAGCCTCATTCGGAGGGAAAGGAGTTAATCCCTTTTAACTCCTTTCCCTCCATTTAAGAGAGTTTAAGAGAGTCTCCTTCTGATTGGCTGCAGCTTGGAAACAAAATTTGAGCCAGCTGGGAGGGGCCTCTGTGCTCACAGGAAGCATTGTGTGTTTGAGATGACCATGTTGGGATGCCTACTCGCATTGATGTCATAAAGCGTCAAGGCTAGAAACATCAGTCTGAAGCCTGAGCACTTGGCTCACAAGGAATTTGCACGCATATGCTGACCTCATTACTGGACCCTTTTGCAGTGTTTAATATGAACATCCACTTCTGGAACAGTACACATATGACTAAAAGTAAGGAAAAGCAGAATTGGTCCATTTCTCGGAAGTAGCAGTTGATAATTTTCCAGTAGAAACGCTCCGAATGTTCCAAAACAGGTTACTAGATGCAGTACTTGAAATACAGGAAATGTATTGAAGAATGAAGAGAAGCGTTCTGTTTTAACATTTTCATCTAGGTGCTGAGTTACAGTAATCTCCTCTGCCAGGCGCTGTGAGCAGATTCCACATGAATGCAACAGTTAGCGTGTTATGTGTTATGTGAAAGTGTGCTGCCAGCTCATACACAAATTAAAATTCTACAGTTTATAAACTCTGAGACTGAGGAAAATAATTTTGAACAAACACATCACCTCAGTCAAGCATAGAAAATGAGTGCAAATATTTGCAGTCAAGTGTAATTACTGCTTAAATTGAGCAGCAGGGTAGAGGTGTAGGTAGACGCCACCCTAGTGTTGTATGCGTTCTAAACTGGAGCTGCTTGGTTGTTAGATAAGAATGAAATTTCCTATAATCCAACTCTGGGTCAGCGGGGAAGGCTGTGTTGGATGGCATGCTTCAGTGCCACGCTTGGCCAATTACCATATGCATGCATAAGCACACACACAGAGGCAGGCAGAGTTCAGTGGCCTGACTCAGAGCCTAAAAATACATCATCATGTCGAATGCTGGTGAAACCCCCCTGGGGTTGGATGTTTGTGTTGGTGTGTGCGTATGTGCATGTAAAAGCCCTACGTGTCATGCAGAATAACACTAAGAAACAGGGTGCAGTGATTGCTGTTTACAAAATCTGAAGTACCACTGCAGTGACTGTGAGGGAGCTACTAGGATGCTATCTCACAATCAAATCAGAATCTAACAGGAACTTGGGCTGATTGTGTGATTTTAGCTGTAACTTGTGTGATTGCTGTGCTGTATGATTTATTTATTTTTCTAAATTCTTCTTTTTAGAAACAAGTTTGCCAATTTATGAGATGGTGGTAGAACCATATTTTTTCAGCAAAAAAAGTTGGGGTTTTTTTTAAACTATGTCCAATTAAGAAATTAAATTTAACTTAATATAGAAAATATATAGTATTTACAGTAACTCTATATAAAAAATAGTCCTGTGAAAATGGGCTCACAGAACTTTTAGACAGTGGACCTGGGTGCCTTGTGAGAGGCAATGACAGATTTAATTAGGTGTCCCTTCACGTTTTGAAAGATGAATTCTGTTTCAGTAGAGCCCTTCATCTCACAGTCACAACACTCCTTGCTCCAACTCTACATGCACATATACCTCTTTGCAGAATTGAAGATTCTGCAACCCTGACCCCACTGAGACTTAGCAGTGTTGGGCTTCATGGCCCTCCCCGTATTTGAACCTCTGTAGGAGGTTGATTTAAAACATCTGTTTGAAAACAGTTTTGCTGCTAGCTTTAGCATCTGCTAAACATGTCAGTAACATTCATGCACTTTCAATGTACTCTTCGTGGACTCTGGTTTTCTCAAGGGCAGACCAGGGTATTGCTGAAACCCAATGGATGTTGCATTTGATTGTGGAGGCAGTTGCTCTTGGTTATATAAATTGGGGGTTGCAGGCGCCAGTCTACTATACTAGTAGTCTGGCAACCAGTGCACTCATGGCCTTGGAAAATGTAGCAAAAGCAACACTTAATTACAAGCTCAGGGTCCTCACTTGGATAGATGGGCTATTTGCGAATTGGTAGTGATGAGCATTTCTGGCAATGCGAGAGTCTGAGAATTTGAGATTACTTGTGTAATCCAGGTTCTCAGAGTAGCATGAGTGAGAATTCTCACTAGGTAGCTGTCCTCATTGAAGCGAAGCTAGATGAGGGGCTTATCTTGAATAATAACTCTAGCACAACTCTAGGTGGGCTATTCTGCCCAACGTGGTCGTTGCAATCACCGGCCAATGAGGAAGGCCCTTTCCATGATACTTTCACTCGTACTACTCTGAGAACCGAGGTTACGCAAGTAATGGTGCTAATATGAACATCTAACATCTGCAATAAAAAACAATCACAAAATTATCTTTTGTGAATATTCCCTTCCACAGTATTACTCTGAGCAAAAACCTAAAATCCACTCGCAAAACTTAGGAAATACAGGTGTGGAATTGCAGCACGTGTAAAGTGAAGTAGAGCAGAAGGTGATGTAAGGATTACACCATCCACAAACATTGAAAACATATGGCAGGCACAGAGAACACAGTCTAGGCTATGCTAAGCACTAGAGGTGCAAAATCAAAGTAATTAGACAGGGTGGGACCAAGCTAAGATGCATAATGAACAAGAGAGGGAATTTAATGTGAATTCATTGCATACTGTTCCTTTTTGATGTGAAGATGTGCTTCTACACCCCATTAAAGCAATATGAGGTGTGATCAAAAAGTTCAAAATATTTAAAAACATTTAAAAATCAATCAAATCATTCAAAAATCAAAAAACCTTACTTGATCTAAATGTGCCTGATTTTCCATTCATAATGGGGTTTTTTTTATTGCTGCAATTTTTAGATCAGTCTATAGTAGGCCCATTGAGTCCAATCATACTTCTGCCTTGTTTTTTGTTTTTTGTTTTTTTTGTTTTTGTTATTTTGGGAGGGGGGGGGGGGCGTGCTTGTTCTCTCAACAACACAAATGAATGTTGGTGAGAAAAAATAAACTAAGCATACTTGTGGTCTGGTTCCTCATCAAAATGTAATATTTTCTTAACTTTCTAAAGTGAAAGAAGTAAAAGCGGCCTCAGGCTCAATTTGACTCTTGTTTTCTTTACATTTTAATGTATTATCCCTTTCTTGTTCTTAAAACATCAGTTTAAAAAATAATGGACACCAATTACAATATGGGCATCCCATCTTCTAGTAAAGACTCTGATTTGGACATATAAGCTATGCATCTGTATACTACAAACTGGAAGATCTCCAGGCTGAGGAACTGGGTTCAGAATGTTGTCTTTCAAATGAGAAAGATGGGTCTGTTATTATCAGTGTTGGTCAAGTTACTTGAAAAAAGTAATCAGTAACTAATTACTAATTACTTCCCCAAAAAAGTAATCCCGTTGCTTTACTGATTACTTATTTTCAAAAGTAATTAATTACTTAGTTACTTCAGTTTCACGATTTACAACCTGAATAGGTGATAAAGCGATAGATCTTTCAGCCCAATTCTACTTTTTCTGCATAATCCATCATACAAAATGTAATCAAATGGAAAGGTCCCTTTTTAAAACTTCTTTTATTAGTTTTAATCGTTTAACTTTATGCATCAAGCAAAAATGTAATTATATGCAACATTCTCTGACTGGAAGAAATTTGTTTAATATTTAAACCTATTTTCTGCACATTCCAGCACATAAAATAAATTTTTTTGTGTGTTTACACTCACTCTTTCAAATAGATACAAGTAAAACACAGCAGAAAATAAATAAAATCAAAGACTCAGCGGTCCTGTTGCTCTATTTTCACCTGTAAAGCAGGAGTGGCGTAGGCGGAGGTTTACCCTGGTGCAGGTGTGCCGGGGCGGTCAGTGGAAGAATCCACGAGTTTCTCTGTGAGTTTCCCATTACGTCGTAGCTACTCGGTGCTTGCTTGGAAGTTTAGGGGATTATTTTCGCTGTAAAAAGAAGTTTTCTTCCCACGCACAACGGACGCTAATGTTTTTGTCACTTTTTATGGAATCAAACTCAAAGTAAGGTCAGTGCTTCCACGCTTTAAACGCTGCACGCTCATACTCTCTCCCGCACTCGATATATTATCCACTGTTGATCTGCAGACAGCTGTTGTCACGAACGTCGCACTCGCTTACGTCACTGTCATGAGACATTCTCGAAAAAAATCACGGTTTTAGTAATGCAGTAACGCAGCGTTCCTACGGGAAAGTAACAGTAATCTAATTACCGTTTTTGCAATAGTAATCCCTTACTTTTTTCAAGTAACGAGTAAAGTAACGCGTTACTGCCCATCTCTGGTTATTATGTAGGTATGACGATACTGCATACTCATTACAATCATTAAACTATCAACAGTGCAGCCTGACTCTTCCTAAAATGTGAAAGGTGCATGTGTGAAGGCAGCTTTACAGAATCATTCTTCATGCAACTATCACACTGCTCAAAAGTACGATTATCCATATAACTTTCATCACCTTATCCCGGACAAGCCCCTAGTTCTGCTAATCATATTAATGTTGTTGTATTCATGCATGACTATTGCAATTACATTTCAGGAAATTTTCATTGTTTAATGTCTAGAATTAATTTATCTGGACCTGTTTGTGCTGCTGTTGAATAGTCTTTATGACATTGGTATATTCGTCTATACTTTGGATTTGTTATGTGAGATATCAGAGTGAGATGAGTGGTAAGCTGTCATTTGATTGTTGTCCTCAGTACGTTCATTCTTTCCCTCTTCTTTCAGTGAGCAGAAGTCTGAAAGCTTTCTATCTCTGCCTGTGTCCTCAGTGCTAACACCTGTTTACTAACACAGTAGCATCACCTTAGCCTAAGAACATACACACAAGCTGGAGGAAAACTTTAGTTTAGCTCTGTGCTGGTTTTTTTCTGCTTCATCTGCCCCCTTCTCTTTTTTCCTCCCTCCCTTCTTCCGTCTATCTTTCCTCACCTGCTGTCTTTCCCTTCTGTGTGCACGACGGCTGCTTCCTACCTGCCTTCTTTCCTTCGTTCTGTCCGCTTCTGTCCTGTCTTGTCCTCAACCTCGGTTTTGTCCAATTCGCACGTCCAGCTTTCGAAAGCACATTGTGCACCCCCACACCTCAGGAGTACGGCAGGACCCCCTCCACGCCCATATCTCCATCCACGCCCACTTACCCATCTCCTGGGACCCAGTCGCCATCCTCCACTACAACACCCCCAACCCCCCCACTCAGGCACTCAGCCTCCCGATTTGCCACCTCACTTGGTTCTGCCTTCCATCCTGTCCTGCCTCACTACGCCACAGTTCCACGGCGACAGCAGGCATTTCCCCAAGCCCCACCGCCTGCCCCTGCTCCTGCCCCTGCTCCAACTCCTCCTCCACCCAAGTCTGTGGTGTGGTCAGCGTGCAATTTTACTCCATTGCCTCCCTCACCTCCGGTCATGATAAGCAGCCCCCCGGGGAAGGCCACCGGTCCAAGGCCACTGATCCCGATTGCCGCGCCATCCCCTCTCACCCAAAAGCCTCCCTCACCATCCCCCAATGGGCCACCCATGTTTCCCGCACCTTCTCCTGTGACCATCCCACACGGCCACACACCCCTCAGCATTACCTGCCCAACACCACCTCCCCCGCCTACCCCACCCCCTCTCCCTTCGCCCATAGCTCCCCCTCCGTCTTCCTCCTCAGTCTCGTCTCCCCCCTCCTCATCCCAGGCTCCTGGTGTGCCCTCTCCCTCCACAGCGCCCCCTGCTGCTGCAGCTGCTGCTGCCACCTCTGCCTCTGCTGAACACCTCTGTTGGGGCCTGGGTCTGTCGGGGCCAGGGGAGCTGGACACAGCCGCAGGCTCAGAGCCCCAATCGGCTCAGGGGGATTCCTCCTGTCAGCCCCAGCCCCAGGGTAAGGCCTCCAGTCTGGATTCTGCTCTCTCTTTCTCACTGCTTTTCTCCCCTCTGTCTTTCACTGCTTGCAACTCACACTCTAACAGGGGTTGGTTGTTACATTGTCACTGATCTGGCCACAACACAAAGTAAGTCCTGTGACACAGACTGATCTAGGAGTTTTCTTTAGAAAAATTGTGCCTTTCCTGGTTGCTGTAACTCAACTCAGTCTGGTTACAATTTCTAATATTAAAATATTCACTATGGTAACTTTTGTGGGATCTCAATGTGTAACAGCTATTGTTTTCCAACTTCTAGCTTCTTTGTCAGTCTCACAAAGCCTGTGTATGTCCTCGTGCTGGCTGGCTGTTCATTGGATATGAAATGTGTTGTTGTTCAGCATGGCATGTCTGTGTCTTTGACAGACCTACGTAAAACTCTTGCTTTCTTCATCTCTTGCCTGATTTGTTTTTCTTCATTCTCAGACAAGCTTCACACACATTTGACCTTTCACTCTCCATAATTTGATTTTTTTTTTACTTTGGGTCTGGAAGCCAATTTCTAAGCAGGCACAGCTGGAAGCTCACTCGACTTGATCAGTGGAACATCGACTGTGCTGTTCAAATCTTATTCACATGAACTTGTTCTGTAATATTAGGAATGGACCAAACATTAAGAGAGAAGCTAATAGGAAAACTGTCATTGATTTAAAGGGTAATGTCAAAAAGTCTAAAGAAAAGAAAAACTGGTGTCACTTTGAAATGCAGCTGTTAGCTTCCTCTTAACTATGTTAATTGTCCCACTAGTGATGGGCGTGCTCCTTCTGACACAAGGTGCAGCAAACACAGAACCTTTGATATACCTGATCTAATTTTTTTGAGACAGGCTCTGATTGGTGCACCTGTAGGGAATATGCTTAAAAGTAAAGATGGGCAAAGGAGCTGATTTGTACTCAGAGTAAAGTAACAACAAATATTTCAGAGTTCATCACAATGATTGGGCGAAAGAGGCTGGATTGCTTGTATCATACCATAGGTTCCGCACAAACTATCCCACATAAAGCAAACATCTGGTTGTTTGAGACTCATTTATGAATTAATGCTTCTTCCCAAGTTCCTTTTTATAATTGTCTTTTGGTTATTATGCATTGGTGTGTACATGCATGCTTGTATGTGTATGTATGTCATTGCACCAAAATGTTTGTTTAATTGAATGTTTAGTGTGGCTTGCATGTCTTAGTTCTGTTTATTGGAATGTTAAATGGTCCAAATTGGGCTTTCAGTAAACCATGAAAAGCAATTGTGATATCTGACTTACCCCTTTGGCACGCTGCCTTCCTTTAAACGCAAATCCAGTCATTAATTCCACATTTTAATAAAACAAATTTGCTCTAGTATGATGTTGCATGCCATCATTCCTTTTATATGTTGAAAAGTAGGGACACACTGGCAACAAATCCTGCAGTTTGGTTCCAGTAATGCAGTTCAAATTAATAATTGATCTGAAAACCTGTGGCTAACACGTAGCCAGCAGGGTCAAAATGAAATATGACAGTTAAATGTCAGCCACAGATATACAAACATAAGTCAGTATCATATTTAAGAAAATAGAACTACTTTGCCTATTTGGGGGGTTTTTTTCCCCCTCAAAAGTGATAGTTTAGTGATAGTTCAGTCTACATCCTAATCCATTTTCAATACATTTTCTCATCATTTAACAGTCAACTTAACTATCCAGTGTCAGATTAAAGACAACATGAAAATAGGGTTTTTCCTCCTGTTTTTTCGTGCGCTTCCCCAAAGAGCTTTTGCCCTTCCCCCTTTCAAAAAAAAAAAAGGAATTTGATTTGCTTAAGCATAAAACAGGGAAAGTAGAGGTAACACAGAATCATTGCTTTAACAATATGGAATGTAATCATGCTATTTTGTGTGGTCCCACCCCAGAGATCCATCTAATCGCTGGAGTGTGATCAGTTTTAATGCAAACATCCTGCCGTCCGCAGGTTTGTGTCTGGAATTGTTCTGAAAAATGTCTTTCTGTCTTCACCCATCCCCCACTGCTCCTTATTCCACCCCTGTCCCTAACAGACGTGGGACAGACTCCAGGGCTGACCACCCCCACCCCTCCCCCACCTCCACCCCTGCCACCCGGCTCCACTGTGACCTCTGCGGCTGCTACCCCGGCCGTCACCCCCACCACCCCCGGAGGCCACCCTCCACCCCCGCCACCTCCTCCACTCCCTCCGACACTGACTCCAGGCGGGACGCCACCTCCTCCGCCGGGTCCCCCTCCCCCTCCCGGTGCTCCACCACCACCCCCAGCACCACCTCTTCCCACCGGACTGTTCTCTCCTGCAGAGGACCGCCCTCTCTCAGGCCTGGCTGCTGCCCTCGCTGGAGCCAAGCTGCGCAAAGTGCCAAGGGTGAGCGCTTGATTTGTTAATGGACCAATGGAAAGCTCGACTAACACGTCTTCATAAATGAACCATTTAGGATACAGTGTATAAGTAATAGGAAGGCAACCGGTTGCATATGCATGCACTTCGGTCACCCCCGATCATCATACACAATCTCACAGTCACTAAAACATTATCCAAAAGCACCATGTTCACACATGATCTCTCTCTCTCACTCACACACACACGCACGCACCATCTGTCACATCTCATTAGGGCTCACAGGAGGACTTCATGTAATGCTCACTGTCTGCCAATGACTACATGGCTACTTGTGTTTTGAGTAAAATATGCATTGTACTTCTTTAAAAAACATAGCTTTTCTGATATAAAATGAGTATTAAGAACATCAATCCTTTTTCATTTATTCTATTTATTTCCCAAACACTGTAAATACTTTCTCTGTTTATGAAGAACACAAATGTGTTTTTGCTTGTGGCCCTTCAGAGTGATGATGCAGGGGCAGCTCTGGCAGCAGCCATGATGGGGGCCACAGGGGCTAAATCAGAGACAAGAGGTAACGGGCCACTTCCTGGAGGAGGGGGGCTTATGGAGGAGATGAGCGCCCTATTGGCCAGGAGGTACACTCGCACGATATTATCATCCAAAACCAGATTTGTCTGTTCACCATGCAAATTTTGTCCTAATTTCTGAAAATAGGCAATTAGTGGTTTTAAATTTGGAAATGAGACTTGATATCGATCAGTGTTTAAGCCCTCCTCACTGTGCCTGGGCTTTTTACATCTTACAGGAGAAGAATTGCGGAGAAGGGCTCGTCACCTGAACCTGACCAGAGATCAGTAAGTAATACCAGAACCATCGTCTAAGCCCCTGTCATGCTATGGTCCTGTGTTTGACTTTGTTTCAAAATGTCATTATTGCTATCGTCAGACGATAGCTCCTCAGTGTGCTTTGGTTATTTCAGAGTATTTTCACTCCTTGATCACTGAGTACTTTCGATATGAAAGTCTGTATGTCTTTAGAGGATGTCATGTTCTACATACCTGTCTGTTACTATTGACATATGTCATAAAGTACTTACCTAAATTGCAGAAAATAAAGTGTTTTGAGTTGTGGATATATTAATAAAGATATAAACCAATCACTATTTAAATAGCACTTGACATGGTTGAATTCTAGCTGAACATTGAACATTTTCCATATTATTTTCTATTCCTAGAGTATTATATTAATTACTTATACATGATTCTATGGAGAAAATCTAGCCTTTTAGGGGTTTTTTTATGTTTGTTTGATTTAGTTTCCTGTTTTGTTTTTTTGTTTTTTTTGGGGGGGGGGGGTTGTTGTTTTTTTAAGCTTTGGTCATGGTTCTGCCAGGCAGTGGCAGTGGAAGTGGAAGTAGGGAGGCCAATATGAATGTTTCGCGCACAGGTATTTAAAGGCATTTAAGAGTCAACTTCTTGCTTATAATTACAAATCATCTAGTGCTTTCTACCTGCATATAGCAACAGCCACGTTCTAGCTTTCCAAACTTGTGCCTCTAGATATGTGGTCAGTTTTTAAGGGAGCGTTTTTGTTTTTTGTTTTTTTTTGTCAGTTGACAACATTTAATTTCTGCACTCTGTTATTTTGTCTTGATCGCAAAGGTTTTTGGTTTAATATAAAATGAATAATTCAATTCAGTTTTATTTATACAGCACCAAATTACAACAGTTGCCTCAATGCGCTTTATATTGTAAGGTAGATCCTACAATAATACACAGAGAGAAAAACCCAACAATCATGTGACCCCCTATGAGCAAGCACTTTGGCACGGTACTTCTGTTTGACCCACAGCCTGGGCGTGTGCATCAACTCGTTGGGGAAGCAGGCGAAACCCGTGGGGACATAGACTGGTATCCTGGGAGGAGACGGTGACAGTTGTGAATCAGCATTAGATTTTACTAAACAAGTCAGTCATTCTGAATATTTCAAAATTAGGTTTTTAAATGACAAAGTTGGGTGGCACAGAGCTGTTGAAGACTGTTAACAACAAACACCTTTCAACCAATAAGATGTTGCTGATGTGCTTTATGGGAATTTGGCATTTGTTCTCACTTACTTTGCATGTGGAGCATCAAGACCTTGGCCAAAGTTTTCCTTGTAGAACCTCATGGAGGAGATAATGCAGCCAGAGGTCCAATAGATCATGACGTTTGTCAGCAGGTCATCTAGAGAGAACTTCCTGCAACACATGACCCCACTGATATAAGACTACTGACAACTGAAAAACTAAGGAAACAAGCCTATTTCAGAATAGACAGCACTGCTAATGTGCATGCTACTACTCAAGTTCACAACTTCTTATAACCTTCAATCCAATTTTATTTATACAGCACCAAATCACAACACCAGTCGCCTCAAGGTGCTTTATTTTGTAAGGTAGACCCTACAATAATACATACAGAGAAAACGCCAACAATCAGACGACCCCCTATGAGCAAGCACTTTGGCAACAGTGGGAAGGAATAACTCCCTTTCAACAGGAAGAAATCTCCAGCAGAACCAGGCTCAGGGAGGGGCAGCTATCTGCTGCGATTGGTTGGGGTGAAAGAAGGAAGACAGGATAAAATTCTGAGTTTGTGTTGGTGTTACAGATTAAATTTGTTTAAAAGATGTCTGTGCTTCTGTGTAGACACTCCATCACAAGACCTGTTCTTGATCCTTATTGTGACTCATTAAACCTTGTTTCTGTGTGCCCAATAGGAGGAGGGTGAGATAAATACGACCCCTAAAGTGTCAGCTTGTAGCACACCAGGTGAGTGTTAAATGAAGACAACAGCATTAGCAGTTAACGAGCATCTTCCTGAAACTGGTGACAAGGTTTACAGCTAGCTTTAATCTCGTTAGGTTATAGGCATACTGATCTTAATGTCGGTTCATGTTTGGTTTCAGTATTTCTTATATTTTGTTTTCTGTTTTCCAGACATGCCCAGGAAGCCATGGGAAAGAACAAACACCATGAATGGTAGCAAATCTCCAGTTATTGGAAGGTACAGTGTCTTCCTGCATCTCCATTTGAAATGTTTGTTTATTACAAGTACATTTATGTTCTAAATTAAATTTTTGTTTATTAAGTTCACCCAGGATATGAATGCCGATCATTTCCTATCTGAATGGCAGTGTGACACAGCTAAACATGATTTCCTAGCCTCTGAAACTATACAAGGATATATTGAAGCATAAGCATCAACTAGCTTTAGCATGATGCATTGCTGGGGCCGTTTAGTGCTGGCTAACACCACTAAAGCTTATCCTGGCCTTTATGTGCAGATTCATAAGACCACCAGCGTGTGTGTGAGAATGAACGGGTGAGAATGTAATGGCATCCTTACCACATATTTTCATATACAGTAGTGACCCAAATAATAAAAATGGTGTACATCCATAACCAGATGAAGGTGTGTGGTGGATGAATTAGTCAACCTTAACCATGCAAGACCATATTTTATGTATCAAAAAATATACTTCATCTGTGTTAGCAGGCATGCTAGCATTAACTAATATTAGCCTGAACAACAACAGTTATGAATCAGATTAGATACAAAAAAGGATCAAACTCAGAACTTTTCACCCAAAGGCAGTTCCACATGTTTCTGGGTTTTCTGGGTTTTTTTGGGTTTTTTTTGTTGTTGTTGTTGTTGTTTTGTTTTTTAAATATACTTTATCACTGAATTATAGTACATTTTAATTTCCTTTACACAGAAATGAGAAGCTGTTTCAGACTTTTTCCACAACAGCAGAAAGTAATTGAAATAAGTGACATCACCACACATGTAACAAATAAGATATCATCTATATAGTATAAACAGTTTGGTGGCCGAGTATTGAACCTTGTGGAACTCCACAAGAAACTTTAAGTAAACATAACTTATATCAGGGTTTTACCAGGTATTTTCTTACATCTACACAACCACTTAGCCTTCCCATTAGGCTGGCGTTTTGCAGTACATATATAGGTTTTACACTGTAATTTGTAAAGTCAGTGTTTCTGCTGCTCACACAGACGAGAGTCTCCGTGGAGGAATCCCATGGGAGCAGATTCCTCCAACAGGTAGAGCGAAAAGCCCTGAAAAGTTTGAGAGAACCTTTTTTTCTTCAAATCAAACTTCCTTTAAAGTTGAGGTTTGCTGTGACAATTTGGTTGGAGAGGAGTTCTTTCGAAGTGCTTGGATGTTTGGACTGAATCGTGTGCCGTCTTTGTGTTCTTTACTACATTTATCAGTCTTGTAGGGGGCCGGGACTGCTCGTCTGTTGTTTGATACGTGCGATTTGGTCCAATTTGTGTGTTCTAAATCAGTGTGCGTCTGGATGATGGGTTTCTAATATAATCTAGTCATTGTGTTTGCATGCTGTGTGCCCGCTGCTCTCAGAACTTAATTTATTTTAAATGGGGAAATCCATATGTGTCCGTCACATACTGTACACCCACCCTATCATACAGACCAACACAAAAATGTGTGTCCACCCAGTGTAGAGTAGACTTGGCAGAGTATTATCTTTGAAGAGCCAGAACAGTTCCAGCAGGCTCTGACAGATGTGTGTGTGTGTGTGTGTGTGTGTGTGTGTGTGTGTGTGTGTGTGTGTGTGTGTGTGTGTG